ATTGCTTGTCTAATCTCTGTCTTAAAACTTGGGTGTCCTGTGGTCATCGCGTCAATATGATTTCTTGCCTTAGTTAGTCTACATATATATATATATATATATATATATATATATATATATATATATATATATATATCTGCTATGATTTAGGTGTATTTAAAAAATTATATGTCCACATATTTTCTGTACGATTTATATTTCTAGTTTATTGGAAGCTTTACTAGCGACACCAGCATTCCTGAAAAGATGAGGCCTACGTTGGAAGAAATCATGATTGGTGTGCTTATGTTTCCAGGTCCTGTAGTTAGGAAACGGTGCTTTAAACAATCAGCTGCGTGAAAAATATGTGGGATAGTCGACAGCGAATTTGTTGTGGCTTTGGAGAGATTGGAAATGGATGGTTGTGGAGTTGTCAAAAGAATGCGTGCTAGTGTTAATGCGAGAAAAGAGATTATAGTTTTTGTGAAATTAGAAGAATTGTCTGAAGAAATAAATTTGGTTTCCCAAGATGAATACAGAAAAAAGTTTCAATTGCCAGTTGCAGGAAAAACAATGAATTCCTAGTAACTAGGGGTGTAAGTGGCATTACTTTGTGAACTGTCATATTTTGTGTGATTAAAAAGTGCATGAAGTTTAGAGATGTGCAAATTTGCTTATTTTTGTATATGGCGTGATTTTTTAGACTTGTAGTAGATTTGGCTAATGCACATGTAGCCATACATGAACCTCCATCTTATGAAACTGGCGATGCCACTGATCTTTTGTATTTTAATTTGTCGAAACTAAAATGTTGTAAATTTTATAAAATATCATTACAGTTACATTACACATTACAAATATCAAACATATTGTAGATTGAAGAAAAATGCCCAACAACTGTAAAGAGAAGTGGTATTATTTCATGAAACGAAAAATGGAAAAGTAAAGGGGGCCGATCCACACTATTCAAACTGCCTAGTGGATAGGATTTCAAGACTTTGCAAAGTATGATAACAGATCAAGTTCAGCTTTCTACTGGTAAGGACATTATTATCAGGCAACTTTGTTACAAAAAGCACAGACATTCTAAGGGTATTGTCGCTGTTAATGGTGACACGGATGTTAGGTCAATGGTCCGTGAATACCCCGGATTTCAAACTATATTTATGGCAGTTGACTGGCATTCCAAAGGCAAAGGTAATTTTAAAGATTTACAGTTTACAACCTTTGGTATATTTTATTCATTTAGCTAATGGCCTTGTTCCTTGTTTTAGCTAGGCACAAAGCATGAATAATGTAAGAAATAATGCCATTGTGTCAATTTAATAATGGCAATTGTCACTTTCAAAATGCTAACAATAAATTAAACTTTTTTCAGATGATGAACAACAACTCAGACGCTCTCCCAGGATTGCTGAAAATTACTCCAAGTATTTGTGTATAAAGCAACACAAAAAAAAACAAATCAGAGGTGTCTAGTTCAGCTGATGTTCTTCGTGTCATCTCAAAGCAGTCTACTGTGCAACAACTTGCAAACAGACTGTGGATAATTGAGGGTGATGCTATCTATGTACCTACAAGTGGCCTGTTTTGGCTAAGAAAAGGCACAAAGCAATGTTTTTCACTGAAAACCGATGATGATTTTATGCTTGCCATAAATGAACATACCAGTAAGAATGGCCAGATTTTGCCAATCAATATTGCTTGTTTCACTGTTGACGAACCAAAGACATCAGGTATTATAACACACATAAAAATATCTTACAATACTTTTATCCAGGAATTTAATGTGTTTCTTCAGTTCTTCTAGTTTGTGAATTTGTTCGGAATGTAAGATGTCATGATATTAACGTAGCTTTTATACAGCTCATGCCCTAATTGCTTCTTGTTAACGTAAAAAATATTTCATACACTCATACAAATAAGGAGAGGAGTAAGAAGAGGTGTATAAGCTCTCTCTCACTGCTCTCTAGCACTGTAGCGCTAAATATCAAAGAGGATCATCTGTATTTCTGAGCAAACCATGGTAATATAAGATGTGCATATTTGCCTGCTACTCCAAAAAAGTGAAGCAAATAAAAATAAGAGCAATGGGAACCACCACTTATTGATTTTGGACTCTTTATGACATTTTAGATAACACAGGCTGCAAAAGGAACAGGCAGATGACATTTGGAAATAATGACCTTCTTCATGATGAGGAAGGGTTTGATCAAGACCAAACTTGTAATGGAAATATATGATATAACTGATAAAACCAAGAAATCAAAGGCAAGTGTGAATGAAGTTTGGAATGATACCCATATAAATCTTGTCAGGTACTTAGAAAAAAAGGATACCTTTCAAAGATGTACCACTGAAAGATCAAAATTCAGGTTGCTTTAAAAAAACTGAGAAACAGGATGATAAAGGTGATGTCACCACAAATCAACTTTTGTAAACAATTATTTTGCAAAATCAACAAGAGAGCGAAACCCTTTCAAAATGCAATGTTGGGAATGATGAATACAAATATGACAATGTTGCAGGTATGAATGCTACAATTACAAAAAAGTTGTTCTTTAGGGAGAAAAGGTTTATACATTTAATGCCTGAAATTCTCTCTTTGACATTTAAAACTGCAATGTATAACAAGGAGGAATTTCGTTTTGAGCAAATCTGCATGTTTGTTTACATTTTTCAGGCAGAGACAATCAGAATCCTAAATATTTAAAACTGGAAGAAAGTAGTCAAGATTTATGCATCATGATCGATTGGCTTACTGAGAATGTAAACAAATATGCTGATTGGTCTAAAACGAAATTCCTTGTTGCAATGTATGACTGTCGGAAACTTTTACTAAAAATTCATGTTTAGTTCGCGCACGCGTTTTTCCATGTGGACGCTATGACGTTTGAACCGGGGGTTGGGATAGAAAGAAAATAGGTGTAAAAATTAAGTGTGGCGAGAACAAGAAAACCTGTATTTTAATCCGAAACGTGTGAGTGTTTATTTGTTTGTGAGGCTGAGAAAAACATAACAAGCGAAAGACAAGTTGTTGGGGGAGCATCCCGACAAAGTGGCATCCCCGATGGGACTGAATTCACAAGAACTATTGTTATTTAATCGAGATCGTTGTTGTTGAGCTGAATTTATACATCGCATGCGGATAGTTTGATGCGGTGAGTTTGCAAAGTTAATACATCAAAATTACTTAACAAAAATCCATTGGAACTGGCTCGTTTTGCTCTTTGAACGGAACATCGATTTTATATCCTTGGGATTTTAAAGCGCAGTACTTAAATCCATATTTATATCGCAAAATGGTTACAATTTCAGACAGTGAATTGTTTTTAAATTTTGGCGTGAGGGATCTCAATACGTAACTGGAGTGATTAAAGAATTTCATTACGAGTCTAAGGAACTGCTAGACATAGACCTAATAAGCACTGGGAGAGACAATCATTTGCTTGCACCGTCTGAAAGGGACGGTGTAGGGAACCTTTTACACAGAAATCTAACAATCCCCATATAACTCGAGCGAATAAACATTGCATTACGGTTTAACGATCTAGCCCCCTAACATGGCAACTGTAGACACATGGTTGAAGGCTGTGGATACTAAGCTGAAAATGCTGAATTTTACGAATAGAAGTGTACGGGAGGCACTAGAGAGTCAACATCTTCCTACCATGGAATGTAAGGCAAAAACCTTACAAGACAAGATCAATGAAATCCAGGACCTGGAAACGAAAATACAAGAGGCGAAAATAGAGGGGGGAGAAGAAATTCAAAGCATCAAGGACTGGAGTAGCACAATAGAAAGTGAGGTTAGTAAATATGAGGCTAGTGTGTCACAACTGAACTCAGCTATCAAGGATATTCATAGATCAGAAAGTGAGAGAGTGAAGAGAGAAGACGAGGAATTAGCATCGAAATTGCGTCATCAGAAATATGAGGAGGAAATAAAATTTGAGGAAGCGAAGTTACAACAAAAGCTTAGTTTTGAGATGAAGGGTTTAGGAAATTCAAGAAGTGAAGAGAAGGAGTCTAAGCTGCTTACCAAGCTACCCAAGTTGGTCATCACCAAGTTCAAGGGAGTACAGACTGACTGGTTGCGGTTCTGGAATAAAAGTTCTAGACTAAAATAGACAAAAAAGATATAGCACAAGTGACCAAGTTCTTATATATGAAAGAACTACTTGATCCCAAGGTACGAGTTTGTGTGGATGGCCTACCCTTTGAAACGTACACGTAGTCTGGAATATTGATATGTTGCCATTTCCATGGCAACGGAACGCATGTATTATTAGTCTTTAGTTTTAAAGTATCAGGTATCAGTATATTGTCAACTCAAACAGAGCGAGAACGGTAAACATCTATAAATCTATACGAACGAATTATCATCAATATCTATTCAAGTTTGGTGTGCGCCAACCAAAGTAAGTTACATTTATCTTGTAGTAGTCAGTTCGTTATTCTCTATTCTCAATCGCGTAGAGTGTCAAATCGTATTCATGTATATATTATGCTTATGTTAGTTTGCGCGCATGCCATAATCTATGTAAATCTTTTCTAAATTGTGTAGTTCGAACCCACAAACATATCTATATCCATATCCGCAACCATACCAATCTATCTACCAAACCTCAACCTCAATCTCTATCGAGAATCAACAACAGAACATCGTATAATTATAACTGGTATCAAAGTTATTGTTTATGTGTGATCTGTGTGTGTGGAGTTCGTTTATTGCTGCGCATCGTACTTGAATTGACTCTTGGACTTTGTGCATTTCAACAATCTGCCCAGAGAGTCTACATTAGTTCGAATTTGAAGGCACAGTATATCAAATCCTGCGCTCGAAGCAAATATATCCCCAACTATAATATATGCGTGAAATCCGGCAGCCACCATGTGCACGATACGCTATCTGTCAATCAAGTCTACTTAAGTCAGCTGTCAACACTCGGGGTGGTAATCAACTTAACTACGCCTGCGATCCGTTTACTAATTTGTGATTACGAAGTTAACACCTGAGAATGGGTGACGAGAATGAACACTCAGTCGAAGAACTTAAAAGGATTCGCAGTTCCGCGAAAGCAAATGTGACGCGTAAGATAAATAGGCTTAACGAACTTATGTCTAGCAACAATATTCAAGCCGTGGAAGAGACAAAAAACGACCTTTTCGAAACTGTGAACGAATTTCAACTCGCGCATAAAGCTTATCACGAAAGGCTCGATAATGAAGAGGAGAAATCGAACTCGTCTCAGTATTGCGCAGTCGTGTTAGAAGAAGCGGAAAAACATAAAACAAAGGTACATCTTTGGCTAAGCGAACATCAGAAGAATGATATAACGGCCGATATCCGTCCTGAAGATTCGATTAGTAACGTCAGCTCCTTGCGGTCAAAAAGATCCAAGACGAGCTCGGTGAGAAGTTCAGCAAGCGCTAAGGCCAGAGCTGCAGCGAAAAAGGCAGCGTTAGAAGCTAAAGCAGCGTCACTTCAAACGTTGCATGAACTCCAGTTTGAGGAATTGAAACTTCAACAAAGAAAAGCGGAAGTAGAGCTTCGCGCCGAAATAGCTGTTGCAGAGGCTGGACGAAAGGTATACGAAGAGAGTGAAGTCGAAGAAATGTATAGTCAAGTAAATAAGAGTTCTGGTTTGCATGAACATTCGCAAAAAATGAGTTATGTTTCCACGAGTAGTCCTGCTATAGGATCGAGTAAACGTCACGATCAACCAAATATTCACAATGTACCATCGAATAGTCAGTTAGAAAACCCTATTCCTAGTAAAGTGCCTCTTAATCATAAAGAATGGAACGACGACAAGCCGGTTGAAAACGATCAGAGCACAAATAATCAACACGAAAATTTTCGAGACGAGTCATTTCAAATGCTAATGGAAACACAAGATCGTCAAAATACCGCGCTACGGCAGTTGATTGAACAGCAACAACAAGGAGTTATGGCATTAACACTACCCCAGCCCATGATGCAGATCTTTGATGGCGACCCGATTAGCTACTGTGATTTCATTCGTGCCTTCGAGCATCTTGTGGAAAGCAAAACCATCAATCCAAGTGCGCGATTGTACTATCTTGTACAATACATCTCGGGCCACGTACAAGAACTGATGAAGAGCTGTCTTACCATGAAATCCAGTGAAGGATACGTCGAAGCAATGCGGCTTTTAAAGGAAAGATATGGTCAAAACTATCAAATTGCTTCTGCTCACGTAAATCGTTTGATCAATGGCCCTGTCATAAAATCCGACGATGGTGTTGAGCTCCAGAGATTTTCCATCCAGTTAACGAGTTGTGCTAACATGTTGAAGGAGATCGGGTGTATCGGGAAACTCGACAACTCAGAGAACTTGAAAAGAATCATCAACCGTCTTCCCACCGCAATGCGCTACAAATGGCGAGATGTAGTTGACAGAACAGTGGAACAAGAAAAGAGAGACATAACAATCAACGATGTGACGAAGTTCGTAACAAGTCGAGCGAGAGCTGCAAATCATCCTGTTTTTGGAAAAGTAGACAAGGAAAGAAAGGAAAAGATTGATCCTCACCAAAGACGACCGCATCCACCAGGAATCAGAGCAAATGGATTTGCTACTCACGGCGAAGAGGACAACCGAGAAGGAGCAACGAAACGAAAGGCATGTCCATCGTGCAAACAGAACCACTGGCTTTCACGTTGTGAAAGGTTCCGTAAACAGTCGTTAGAAGACAGAAAGAGGTTTGTAAAGGACGAGAAGTTATGCAATAACTGCCTACTTCCTGGACATTATGTTCGCTCCTGCACGAAGCAAAGTTTTTGTAAGGTTCCAGAATGCACTGGAAAGCACTCGACCTTTCTTCATCCGAAGAGCAACAAAGACAGCAAGAATTCTAATCAACAAAACGAGGAAGAATGCAAAGAATCAGAAGAGGATTCAAAGTCAGCCCATACAGCTTATGTCAAAATGTCCGTAAAGCCCAATGTCTCAACACGCAGTTCAACAGCTACAGCACTGGCTATTGTCCCGGTTCAAGTGAAAGCGAAAGGCGGGTCAGCGTGCGTAGAAACTTATGCATTCCTCGATTCAGGATCGAACACTTCGTTCTGTACTGAAACCTTGCTGAAGCAACTCAACGTAAGTGGAAACACAACAAATCTTTCGTTGACAACAATGCAGGGAGAAAATATACCTGTTCAATGTTCCTTAGTAAGCCTCGAAGTTTCCGACCTTAACGCTGTAAACCACGTCGACCTACCAGTGGTGTATTCAAGACCATCTCTGCCTATTTCGCCCGACGCAATTGGCAAGGAAGAAGATGTTCAACATTGGCCACATTTGAAAGATATACCCTTGCTGGAAATTGATGCCGAGATTGGTCTCCTCATCGGCAGCGACGTACCAGAAGCCTTACAGCCCATTGAAGTGCGCCCAAGCGAGAATGGTGGTCCATTTGCAACTAGAACGGTCTTTGGATGGGTACTAAACGGTCCTCTTGGAGGAAGCAAATCAAAGATTCCAACCACCAACTTTGTGCAATCGACCGATGTATTAGAAAGCCAGTTCTACGACTACTGCAACCGCGAGTTTAACGATTCAAACTACGAAGTAGAACCGTCAATGTCCCAGAACGATAAAAAGGCCTTGAAAATTATGGAAGATTCCATCAAGTTAGACAATGGACATTACGTAATCGCGCTACCCTGGAAAAATTATCCACCGCAACTACAAAACAACCGATCCCTAGCTGAACAACGACTAAGTTCACTCAAACGGCGTCTCCAACGAGAACCTATCGTGCACGAGAAGTACACGGCGTTTATGAACGACCTCCTGAACAAGGATTATGCAAGGAAGGTGAATCACGAAGCTCAAGATCCGTCTAAAATCCTTTGGTACCTTCCCCATCACCCAGTGTTGAATCCCCACAAACCCGAGAAGGTGAGACTAGTCTTCGATTGCTCTGCTAAATACGGTAATACGTCACTCAACGACCAACTGCTACAGGGGCCGGATATGACCAGTACTTTAGTCGGCGTACTCACGAGATTCAGAGAGGAAAGAGTGTCAATGACGTCAGATATTGAGTCCATGTTCTACCAAGTTCTTGTAAAACCAAGTGACTGTAGCACATTAAGATTCCTGTGGTGGCCAAATGGAAGGCTCGATGAACCTGTTGAAGAGTACGAAATGCAAGTGCATCTGTTTGGCGGAACATCATCACCAAGTTGTTCAAATTTTGCTCTGAGACGAACAGCAGAAGACAACAAGTCAGAGTTCGATCCGCAAACCATTGAAACAGTCAAGAGGAATTTCTATGTTGACGACTGTCTCAAGTCGGTGAAGTCCGATGAAGAAGCAGTGAGAAGGGCAAGTCAGCTACGCGAGTTGTTGTCGAGAGGTGGTTTCAGATTAACCAAGTGGAACTCGACGTCACAAAAACTCATCAAGTCTTTACCAGAGTCAGAAAGAGCCGAGAAAATCAAGGATCTCGACTTTGACAAGCTGTCCATCGAAAGAGTACTGGGAGTCCAGTGGAACGTCTCAACCGACCAGTTTGGTTTCAGTATCGTCATCAAGGTTCGCCCCCTGACTAGAAGAGGAATACTATCTGTAGTAAGTTCGGTGTTTGATCCGTTGGGATTCGCGGCACCATTCATCCTTCAAGCAAAGCAAATTCTGCAAGAATTATGCCGATTGAAGCTCGACTGGGACGAAACCATTCCCGAGAAGTTTCAAGATCGTTGGCAATCATGGCTACGAGATCTACCAAATTTAGAAGAGTTAACAATGGATCGTTGCTTCAAACCTAACAATGAAGAAATTGCGTCAACTCAACTGCATCACTTCGCAGACGCTTCTCAAGAAGGTTACGGAGCAGTTACGTACCTGAGAATCGAGAACAATCAAGGAGAAGTCAAGTGTTCGTTTGTCATGGGAAAATCTCGCCTCGCGCCAATCAAGTCGGTGACAATTCCTCGTATGGAACTATCTGCAGCGGTCACGGCGGTTAAGTTAAACAAGATGTGTCAAGCAGAATTAAGCTTACCAGTTGACGAAACGCTGTTTTGGACAGATAGTACCTGCGTACTCAAATACTTGGAGAATGAAGAAAAACGTTTTCAGACCTTTGTTGCGAACCGCATCAGCGTGATACGAGAGTCTTCCTCTTTGGAACAGTGGCACTATGTCAGAACCGATGACAATCCTGCGGACGATGCATCTAGAGGAGTTTCGGCTGCTCAACTACATCGCTGGATACATGGCCCAACGTTTTTGCAGCAACCCATTAGTACTTGGCCACAACGACCAGCAGATATCAATCTGAAAATCGCGCCAGATGATCCAGAAGTCAAGAAAGAATCAGCAGCTTTCGCGTGTGGAACCATTGGTCCTGATCTCCTTACCACTGTTATACCAAGATGTTCGTCTTGGAGCCGCCTGAGAAGAATTGTCGCTTGGGTTTTGAGATTCACGTCGAACCTGCTACGTCGTGTTCGAGAAAAAGAGAGTGTTAGAAGGGCTACGCAAACAACGACGATCGCCCCAATAACCGTCTCCGAATTGCGTGAAGCTGAGAAGCAAATCATTAAGCACGTTCAACAAGTAGCCTTCTTAGAAGAAACTAGCATATTGGCGAAGAAAGAAAGCGAGGAATCAAATTGCAAGGGGATAAAGAAATCAAGCGCTATTTATCAACTAGATCCCACCGTCAAAGACGGCCTGTTACGTGTTGGTGGACGACTACGACGAGCCGAGATCAGCGAAGAAGCAAAACATCCCTGTATTCTGCCAAAAACCCACCACGTTGTCACCTTAATCGTGAATTATTACCATCATGTCTCCGGACATTCAGGCCTGGAGCACACATTGTCTCTCATCAGAGAGAGATACTGGATAATCAATGGAAGGTCAACGGTCAAGAATATCATCGGAAAATGCCACAGCTGCCGAAAACGTCAATCCCCAGTGTCTCAACAAAAGATGGCTGACCTTCCACGCGACAGAGTTACCCCTTCGAAGCCGCCGTTCACTTATACCGGAGTTGATTGCTTCGGACCCTTTGCAGTGAAACGAGGAAGATCTACCGTTAAGCGATACGGCGTCCTTTTCACCTGCCTCACTGTTCGCGCAATCCACATCGAAGTAGCCTCCTCTTTAGATACGGAATCCTTTATCAACGCTCTCAGACGCTTCGTTGCAAGAAGAGGTCAGCCCGAAGAAATGCGATCAGACAATGGGGGGAACTTCGTAAAGGGCGAGAAAGAACTCAGGCAAGCGGTGAATGATTGGAATCAAACTCAGATACATGAAGCCCTCCTGCAACAAAACGTTAAGTGGACCTTCAATCCGCCGGCCGGCTCTCATCACGGTGGCGTATGGGAGAAGTGCATACGGACAGTCAGAAAGGTTATCCTGGCAACTCTGAAAGAGCAGCAGCTGGACGAAGAATCCCTCAACACCCTTATGTGTGAAGTCGAGTCTGTGGTGAATGGCAGACCCATTACCAAATTGTCGGACGATCCCCGAGATAACGGACCCTTGACCCCCAACCATCTACTGTTGCTACGTTCAGGATCGAGTGTCCCACCCGGTGTTTTCTGTAAGCAAGATGGCTGTGGCAGAAGGAGGTGGCGTCAGGTGCAATATATGGCAAACGTGTTCTGGCGTCGATGGTTGAAGGAATACCTCCCGTCTCTCCAACGAAGGCAAAAGTGGAGTATCCAGCAGAGAAATTTCGTGGTCAACAACGTAGTTTTGGTGCTGGACGAGAACAAGCCACGGTGCAATTGGCCTCTAGGACGTGTGATTGAAGTTTACACGAATACCGGTGACAAGCTCGTGCGATCAGTGAAGTTGAAGACAAGTTCATCCGAACTCGTGAGACCAGTGGACAAGATCGTGCTGCTGGAGGAAGATCAAGCAGAGAAGCAATGATCGAGTAACGTACAGTACAATTCTCAAACTTTTATATATTAGCTAGTTTAGTCTATTGTTCAGTTTATTCAATTTGTTTCAAACCATTTGTTATTGTTAGTTATTAGTAAAGGCTCACAATCCGCCTTTAAGGGGCCGGTATGTAGGTTTGAAACGTACACGTAGTCTGGAATATTGATATGTTGCCATTTCCATGGCAACGGAACGCATGTATTATTAGTCTTTAGTTTTAAAGTATCAGGTATCAGTATATTGTCAACTCAAACAGAGCGAGAACGGTAAACATCTATAAATCTATACGAACGAATTATCATCAATATCTATTCAAGTTTGGTGTGCGCCAACCAAAGTAAGTTACATTTATCTTGTAGTAGTCAGTTCGTTATTCTCTATTCTCAATCGCGTAGAGTGTCAAATCGTATTCATGTATATATTATGCTTATGTTAGTTTGCGCGCATGCCATAATCTATGTAAATCTTTTCTAAATTGTGTAGTTCGAACCCACAAACATATCTATATCCATATCCGCAACCATACCAATCTATCTACCAAACCTCAACCTCAATCTCTATCGAGAATCAACAACAGAACATCGTATAATTATAACTGGTATCAAAGTTATTGTTTATGTGTGATCTGTGTGTGTGGAGTTCGTTTATTGCTGCGCATCGTACTTGAATTGACTCTTGGACTTTGTGCATTTCAACAATCTGCCCAGAGAGTCTACAATATATACGTAATATATATAGATGTATATATATATAGATGTATATATATATAGATGTATATATATATATATATATATATATATATATATATATATATATATAAATTTAAATTTGACCTAAAGTACATGGAGTGGTCATTGATCCCAAGCGAGGCAGAGTTTGTGGTTTCTGAAAAACCATTTGCAAATGGTGGTTTTCGTGAAGCATATAAAGCCACCAGCATCACTGAGGGATTTAAAGATGAAACATGGGTTGTCAAGAAGTACACAGATCATACCAGAGAATTACTTAAAGAAATGAAGAAAACTGAAGAGGAACATGCACAGAAATCTGTCCAGATGCATTACCTTGCAAGGAATCTGGCTTGCCACCTGCAGGAAAAAGTGAAGAAAGAGAATTTGGTGGAGTTTGGTGAACTATTTGAATTTAACAAAGTTTTCATGGGGAAGACGACCTCTGGAGAAGTTGTCACTCTGGAGGAATTCATAAGTGGTGAATTTGTAAAGTACATAAATAACACTGGTGATAGATGTGAAAATGACAATGTAATTGCTGATAAGGCAGAGGCCTTTTCCCACTTTACATATGTGAAGTCTGAAAAAAAGTTTATAGTGTTGGATGTTCAAGGCTCAAGGCATACTTTATATGATCCAGAAATTGCATCAGAGCAGCTGGTAGATGATAATGGTAATTACCAGTTTTGTAGTGGAAATTTGTCCACAGTAGCAATTGAGCATTTTTTCAGAAACCACAAGTGCAACAAATACTGTGTTTTGTTAAACTTATGCAAATGAGTGCTGTATCATCCTTGTTGATATCGTTTTATATTTCTGTAGAATCCATAGCATCCTTTTGGTTGGTTTATCAATATTACAATTAATACTAGAAGTTACTATCGCAAGGGGAGTGCTGCCAGGCGCAAAAAGCATTTTGTACAAACAACGATCGGTGATTACTTTAGCACAGACACGGTTAATGAACATGCTGAATTTCATCCTGTTATTTGCCTTTTGGTTGCTTTTTTCTCCTGTTGTATGTAAAGTAGATGAGTTATGAATGTCTTTTATAATTTGCTTCAATGAGCAACCATAATGTTTTGTGCTTGAATACGCTCAATATCACATGCGTCAAGATGAGAAATTTGTCAAAAAGTATTTGACCGTGCAAAGGCAGCCTTAATCAAGTCAACTAGACCAGCAGGTCCAGCAAGCATTATAAAAACAACTCAACATGAATCATGTTGAATTGTTTTTATTTACATGATTGCTCTGATGGAGGCTTGCAGTTTACAGCCGATCCGAAATTTAAGTTGTATTTAAAGAATTTTACCGCTTTAAACTTGGAATGTTTTTAACTAGATCAGTTTCAAAACTTAAATATTTTATCATGTACTCTACTGGTCGCCAGAATAGCATAATAGCAGCATATACATATATTCAATATATTTTCAAGTGGGATTTGTTTAGAGGTTGCTTCAACAACAATTTAACCTTTGGCAGATAGCTGTTTGTCATCAAGCTTCAAGTTGTATCCTGCTTGGAATTAAATTGGATTATATATAAAATTCAGATTTTGTTCTTTAGTTCTTGTTGTTTTAGCTGGGGTAGAAAATAATTTGTACTATAGAAAAAAACAGTTTCAAGTGGGATTTGTTAAGAGGTTTTTTACTTTTATTTTAACAACAATCATTGGCAGATAACTGTTTGTCATCAGTAATAATTGAATTATATAGAATTCAGATTTTCTTCTTTTAGTTCAGGTTGTTTTACTTGGGGTATAAAATAATTTGTGTTGTTGAAATATAGCTGTGCTGTTTTCAATACAAACTGAAATACATGTTTACTTTTTATTTTTTATTATGTCCACACTATGGTTGACTCCATTGGACCAATCCTGCGGTCATTTGTGTAAAACTCTTAACTTCTAAATTGTAGTGAACTCCAAAATTCACAATTCTTTTTAGCTAATTTCTTTCCTAACTATATTTATACATAACTGTTCTTTATACCACTGGCTCCGGCTCTACCTTCCTGATGTTAAACAAAGTAACAGAGTACAAAAGCAGCTATAATATATTAAATTGTTACCATTGATTGAAAATCAAAACAACACATGCTAAGCACTTTTGCTACATGTTATCAAATTAAAATAAAATTATATTTGGTACTATATGCACATACAAAAGGATGAAACCATATAGAAATTATTACAAGCAATGGATTCCAAATGTGGTATGCCTCAAACAAATTATTAGTGAAAAACATGTAATGTCTCCAAATAATTTTATACCTCTACCCTGATGTACAACTGAAACATTTTCATTGTTGCTAATAATTTTATTTTGTACAGGCTATATCACAATCATTGTGCACAGAGAAAGATAATAGATCAACACCTGGGTCTAGAACAATTAAGCCACTATTTAGAGCTGTTAATTACATTATTTTATTTGCAGTAAGACATTCAAAGTTGTTTTTGATCAATCTACACATTTCTTTTTAGCTAATTTCTTGCCTAACTATACTTATACATAACTGTTCTTTATACCACTGGCTCTGGCTCTACCTTTCTGATGTTAAACAAAGTAACAGAGTAGACAAAAGTAGCTATAGTATATTAAATTGTTACCATTGATTGAAAATCAAAACAACACTATCACATGCTAAGCACTTTTGCAACATTTTATCAAATTAAAATAAAATTACATTTGGTACTATATATGCACATATAAAAAGATGACACCGTATAGAAATTATTATTTATTACAACCAATGGATTCCAAATGTGGTATGCCTCAAACAAATAGTGAAAGACAATTTGTAATGTCTCCCCATAATTTTATTCCTCTGTCCTGATGTACAACTGAAACATTTTCATTATTGATAGTGTCTCCCCATAATTTTATTCCTCTGTCTCTGTTCAACTGAAATATTTTCATTATTGTTAGTAATTTTATTTTGTACAGGCTATATCACAATCATTGTCCACAGAGAAAGATAATAGATCAACACGTGGGTCTTTTAGTTATACATAACTGTTCTTTATACCACTGGCTCCGGCTCTACCTTTCTGATGTTAAACAAAGTAACAAAGTAGACAAAAGTACCTATAGTATATTAAATTTTTACCATTGATTGAAAATCGAAACAACACATGCTAAGCACTTTTGCAACATTTTATCAAATTAAAATAAAATTACATTTGGTACTATATGCACATATAAAAGGATGAAACCATATAGAAATTATTACAAGCAATGGATTCCAAATGTGGTATGCCTCAAACAAATAGTGAAAGACATGTGATGTCTCCCCATAATTTTATTCCTCTGTCTCTGTACAACTTTAGTAATTTTATTTTGTACATTTATACAGGCTACAATATGTCCACACAGAGAGAAATAATAGATCAACACCTGGTCTAGAACAATTAGGCCATTATTTAGAGCTGTTAATTACATTATTTTAGTCGCAGTAAGACATTCAAAGTTGTTTTTGATCAATCTATACATTAGGGCCATTTATACGAGCGAAAATAAATCGCGGCCTAAATAAACTTATAAACCCAGCCCTTCGTAGAGCTCGTCCAAAATAAGCCCCGGCTAATTTAAGTCGCGGCGACCACATCCTAAATTAAACATTGGTGTTCAGCATCAATTTAGACTGCAAAAACTGTCTTGGCGGCCGGGACTTGCGACAGCGAATTTCAGTCGTTTATACGAGTGTTTGCATGCGATGATTGCGATCAATAATTTAAACAATATCCCATATAATTTAAGCTGTGGCTTATTTTAGCTCGAAATAAACGGCCCTATTGATACCTCTATATTGAACACAAAATTGACAAATATGTTCTTTACTTTGATGTAAATCAGCCGTATGGAAGAGCCTATTTACAAAATTTTCTTTCGATATTTCCAGGTTAGCAGCATATGGGTGAAATATGAAAAATTGACGCTCCCCCTCATTCCGTAAAAAACCCCCCCGGAAATCTGTGACAGACAGAAGGACAGAC